GGCTCCTGCCATGACCCAGTCCTCTTCCTTAGGGACAGCGGCGGCCTCCCCAGTCGGAGCGGCAGACGTTAGTCCAGGCACAGCTCCGTCTGGGGATTCTTTGGTCTTCGATGCTCCCTTTGCCGACGCCTCCACCACGTATACGGGATGGGCCCTCGCAGGGCCGCTGGATAAGGAGAAATCTGGCTTCTCGCAGCGGCGCGTGTAGAGATTGAAGCGCACGATGCGGTCGTTCTCAGTGATGAAGTGGATGGTTGCCAGCGGCGCCAGGTAATCCCTGAAGATATCCTGACGCGGATACCAGCTGCAGAAGATCTCGTCCATCTCCTCTGGCGTGAACGGCACCTCCTTATCCTCGCGCCGCTGGTCGTTGTCGTCCTCGGTGGCCTCAGGATCCTCGCTGGCCTCGTCCTCGTTCTTCACTTCCTTGCTGCATCTTGCCTTCTTTCTCTCTTTCTTCTCTTCTTTGCTGCTCCTCGCCTTCTTCTTCTTCTCTTTCTTTTCTTCCTTTTCTTCCTTCTCACCGCGGTCTTCTGGTGGACTCCGCTTCTCTTTCTTCGCGCCGCGGCCTCCTGGTGTACTCCGCGACCTTGAACGCGAGGAAGCCTCCGCCTCGGGCGGAGGAGGGACGCGAGGCTCGCGAAGAACAGCTCCCCGATCACGCTGGCGGTCGCCACGACGATCTCGATGATGATCTTCACGCTGCTTGGTGTCACGACTCCCGCCTTCACCGCGCCGATCGCCACGGGGCTTGGTATCACGATTGCCGCCCATCACGATCTTGAATATAGTTGCCGTGATCTCGTCGAGATCCACCTCAGCCGCCGTAAATGGCCTCGATGTGGTCAGCTGCAGTCGCACGAGCCGACCCTGGACGAAGTCGAGGCTCTCGAAGCGGCCTTGCTTGAAGAAGATAGGCTTCTTGTTCGTCACGCGCTCCACGATGTGATGGACCGTGGCAAGGTCAGGAAACTCCAACTCCACGCTGTGCCCCTTTGCGTGGGTGTTGGCCAGAATGCGATGGCAACGCACGACAGCATCCTCGTCCTCCTGATCCTCCCCGCGCCTGGCACGGGCGCGCGCACGTTCATCACTGCTCTGTGCGGCCCCTGGGCCGTCGTCGGTGTCCTGGCGTAGGCTCGGCGCAGGCATGCTTTTGGGCCTGGGGTGCATAATGATCCGCTCTGGCGCGTGCGCTCGACCCTCCACTGGATGCCTCTGGGCAGGCGCCGACTGGGGAGCACGGCGCCATGGAGCGCGGCCACGACGCTCCTCGGCACTGCCTGCCATGCCAACCCAGTGGACGATCGGTCCATGCACCTGCCTAGGCGCCGGCGGCTTCACAGAGCTCCGCTGGTTGGGCGACGCTGGCTGGCCATTCTTAGGCCCGATCTTGTTGTACGGCTCGCGCTCGCCACTCTTCACCTTGGGGCGCTCTGGGTCGCCACGCCAGTGGCCAGGCTGATCGCAGTCAGCACACCGGCTGTTAGCCTTGCGCTGGTCTGTCGGCTTCCGACCAGCCTGGAAGGAGCCGCTAGCGTTGATCTTCTTGGGGTCCCGCTGCCGAGGAGCAACGAACCCGCGCTTCTGACGCTGTACCGCCGTCTTCTGCTTGGCCCTCCAGCCGGCCAAGAACGCTTCCTGAAGATCCTCCGGTGCCTCGTACTCCTCGTCGTCAGGCCCGTCGTTGTCCGACACCAGCTCCTCGTCGACCTCGGCGCCGTCCTCGAAGAGGGTGCCCTCGGCCCCTCCATGGTCTCCATCGTCCTGGTCGTCTGCTTCATCTTCGTCATGCTGCGCCTCCTCGAGGTCGCCGCGGTGTTCATCGTTGTCTTCGCCGTTCTCTACCTCGTGTACGTGCTGGCCAGGGCGTCCTCGCAGCACGCATGGCCTACGAGCCATGGGAGGGTGCGGATAGCGACCGCCCGAACTCCCAGAGGAGCGCCCGTGCTCACGCTGCGCCGCAAACGGCGAGCGGCGAGGGAGCACTGAGCGCTTCTCGGTGTCGTGCACCTTCGAATAGGCTGCCTTCAGCACGACCTCCATCCGCTTCGAGTCGTAGATGCCGCCACAGTTGAAGAGCACCTGCGCTCGCTCCTTCTGCGACAGTCCAGCGCCACGAAGCATCTTGCTTGCCAATGCGCGATCGCTGATCGCTGATGTGGGATCCTCGAGCTGCAACTCCATGCGCTTCTTGCGCAGGTACGTGGTCCAATCCATGATCGGCTGCCCAGCTCGACGGCGCGCTCGCTCCCAATCCTGATGCACCTGATCGAGGCGCTCGTGATCCATCTTCTCGAAGGCGTCGTCGTAGATAGCAAAAATGGTCTCGAGCGTCTCCTCGCGTCGGAGGTCCGACGCGTCAAGCACCTCGATGAGCTCTTTGGCTCGACCTGTCACTTGACTGTAGATGATCAGGCCCAGCTCCACGTCTGAAAGCTGATTGAGGTTGCGGATGACTTCAACCTCCTTGCGCCACTCTCGGTACTTCTTAGTACTCGTACCGACTCCACCATCGAACTCTGGGAGCCTCACCTGCGACAGCAGTAGACGTGTACGTCTGGGACCGCCGTCGCCACGATCCCGATGCAAGGCCAAGAGCTCCCGCTGGGTCTCGGCCATCACGCGCAGGACTGCATGCAGGTCCGGGGGACCTGTGCCTGCGGAGGACGCAGCCTCCACGTCTGAGCCGTCTTGGCTGGCGGCCATGGCGGCCCACGCGGGTGGTCACAACCACCGAAGCAGAGCACGCAGTGCGTCCGCTGGAGCTTACCAGCTCCGCTACCAATGTCAGTGCAGTTGTTTTCAGCAAAGACCGCGCGGCAGTCCAACTGCGGGTGCGTCCCAGGGCCCTAGGACTAGGGCCAAAACAGCGGCGGGCAGCGCGCATGCCACAAAACAAGACAAGCGTGTTCAACATACACACATGGTGGCACGGGCGGCAGAGGGGCAGGGGAGTGCACTCTTCACACCTGGCACGGTGCATGTAGGAGCCCGATGTCTGACCACACCCACTTCCCGAGGTGCCTTGCGAAGAGCGGTTTCCAGAGGTGGAGGTGGGCAGTTTCCCCGCCCCAGGGGAAGAAAACACTGCCCACTTCCACCCCCGAGGGCCTATCATAGAATCGAGGATCCAGAGGTGGATGTAGTCAGAAATCGGTTTTCGAGCATGGGCTCCCCCGTGGCAGCGGAGATCTGCGCACCGCGCCCGTCCCCTTCCTGCGTCCCGCGCGGGGGCGGATGGGGGGCAGGGGAGGGGGGGACGCGGCGGCGCGCTCGAAGGGGCAAGGCAGAGGGGGTCCGCCTTCTAGAAGGCTCAGAGCGCCTCCAGCCCTCTCAGAGACTGCGAGACTGCGCAGGCCTTCTCCGACAGCACGGAGATGGCTGCTCGAAAGGCCAGAGGGCCTCTGAGAAGCCCCGCCGCCATCCGAGAAGGCCCGCCCCCTCCCACCTCCCCCCTCGGCACGCCGCCGAGGGACGGGGAGGGGAGGGGAATGACAGGGGAGGGGAGGGGAGGAGAGGAGAGGGGGAGGGGAGGGGAGCCCCAAAAGAGCGCACGCGCCCAGCCGCGCAGTTCGCGAGGCCACCCTCGTGCCGCGACGGGCCAGCGCGAGGCGCCTTCTCGTGAACGAATGTCGACCCGCGCGTGCGCGCACGATTCTGCTCAGATCCCGAATCACGGAGAGGACACCGTGGGAACGGAAGGTAGTGGGAGGGAGACAAATGTCGGGCGCTGGCAGAACTGGGTTTAGTGGAACCTGGTTTAGTGATTTGTACCGGGGGCGCCCCCCCCGTCCCATCCCCACTAACTGGAACTGCCGTCACCCGAAAAAAACCATGTACTGCAAACCTGGTTTAGTGAATCTGGCCAATTGAGGGGCCCCAGGGCCCTACCACTAACCGGGTCCCCTTACCCGGGGTTCTGGCTATACCCCAAAATGGGGGGAGGGCGAGGATGGAAGGAGGCAAGACGGGGGAGGAGGCCGGCAGCATGCGGGGAGAGGAGGGGCGGTAGAGACCTCCCAGATGGGCTACGAGTGCATGGGGTCGACGGCTCGCAAAGCGTCGCCAGTCCATCGCCGAGGCATCGGCGATGCATCGTCGATGTCGGCGGTGCATCGGCGACGTCGGCGTGGGGAAGCACGGTCTCCAAATCGAGCCGCATCGCCGATGCATCGGCGATGCGGCGCGATCCCCCGACCCCATCTACTCTCGGTGGTGGACAAACCTCCCTTTAGTAAACCACCCTTTAGTGAAAACGGCCTAGGACCGAAACCGACGGACCTGGACCCGCAAAAATGACGGCTGTGACGCCCTCTCGCGAACCGAAAACGGCCAATTCACTAATCGACGTGTCAGGGTAGGAGGTCTATCACCCTCTGATACTCGGACCCCGTCTAGGAGGCCTACCAAAAGGGGAACAAAGGTGGTGCCTTCCCTCGGTAATACCACGCCTGCCGGACGGGCCCGTCAGCGTGATGCGTGCCACCGTCGAGAGAACACCAGGCCGCACCAAGATTGACCGAACACTGCGCACTTGGAAAAACGATGCGCATGCCGCTGTTGCTCTTGATCCCCCCCGATCCCCCGCGGATGAAAAAACAGAAACGCCATGAACACTTCTGGCATGAAAAAAAAGACGCCATAGACATAAACTGTTTGGCGCGCCGCGAGGAGTTCGTGGATCCGCGCTGGACACCCCTCCATGGCGCGCGGAGCGCGCCAGGGGGGGCCATCGCAGGTCCAAGAAACCCGCGCGGAGCTCCGAAAGTCGACGTTTGTCCAGCAGTTTCTCCCTCGAGGGGGGCCCTCCGCGCTGCAGCTGTCTGTCCCTCCCGTCTCTGGGGGAGCAAACGGACACCGATGCCGCTACTCACCCGACCTCTGACGGGGTGCGTTCTGACCAGAATCTCAAGGAGAATCCAGCAATGGCGACGAGGGCTCTCCAGGACGAGCAGCCGTATCGGAATCTGCCCCTCCTCTGGGATTCCCCAGGGAGCCTCCGCCTGGTAGCTGCCCGGCTTGAAGAGGAACGCGAAGCGGCTGTCCGAGAACTGGCCGTGGTCCGGGACGTAGTCCGGGGGGACGGGGCCACCCCAGTCGTACTGCTCCGTGTCGCCCGCGCCGTTCTCCGCGAAGGCCCTCTTCACGGCGCCTTCACAGGAGGCAGGGGGGCCCCCACATCCTCTCGCCGCAAGCCAGCAAAAACCACGGCGGGACAGGCGGGTTGCCATCTGAGGCCTCGGGAGGCCTCTCCGGGCCCTGGGGCCGGGATGGCAAACCTGTCCCGGGGAAGGGGTCCAGACCTCTGGAGGTCGACGCTGTGAAAAAACACGGCGTCGGGGGTTGCGAGGAGAGAGAGAGAGAGAGAGAGAGAGAGCGGAGGGGGAGAGAGAGAGAGAGCGGAGGGGGAGGGAGGGCGGGGGGAGGTAAAGGGCGAACGGAGATGGGTGAAGGAGGAGGAGAAAAAGGGGAAGGCAAAGGGGCAGCGGGGAAGGATGGGAAGACGGACGGGGAGGGGGAGCTCGGGGAACAAGAGTGTGCAAGGTTACCGCTCTGAACATGCCCGCGACACACATGCGACCCGCCCGTAGCTTGCATGTGAAACCTGCGACTCAAAAATCAGCGCCTGCGGAATGTCATCTCCGTGTGGGATTTGCAGGTGTGTGGGGGGGTAATCGAGTCACGCATCATACCCTCCCACGCTGGTCGGATGACCCCATCGGAATGCCACTGCCGAGGAAGCACCAGGCTTCTGCACACAGGGCGAACCGGGTAACACGCAGTCGGAAAGACGACGCGCATATTGATGATGCTCTGTATAGAGGCCTCCTGGGGGAGGTCCGAATAGATGGGGTCGGAGGATCGCGGCGCATCGCCCATACATCGGCGATGCATCGGCGATGCCTCGGCAACGTCGGTAATGCTCTGGAGACGTCGCGGTGGAGAGCCTCGGGCTCCACATCGAGACGCATCGCCGATGCATCGGCGATGCGGCGCGATCCTCCGACACCATCTGCTCCGACCTCATCTCGGGGGCGCGCAAACATGGATCAGCGATCCATGGATGTGGCGCGCGGTCGCCAAATCCATTGATCGGAGGAGGTGCCTTTCCCAAAATGCGGCTGGTGCCGGTGCAACCTCGCCCGGCGGCGGGAATCCGCGACTTTCCGTGGAAACGATACCCGTCGCTAATCCACGCCCCCTTGATCCATGTTTGCGATCGCCTGATCATGTGAGCGTTTTTGTTCGGCGTTTCGACATTGAGTGGAAGGGGGGGGTCGCTAATCCACGCCCCCTTGATCCATGTTTGCGATCGCCTGACAATCTAAGCGTTTTTTATTCGGCGTTTCGACATTGAGAGGAAGGGGGGGGGAGGGAGGGGGTTCTGGCTCCGGACCTCTGCTTAGTGCGACTGTCTGGAACCGTGCGCCCTCTCTTGGGTAGGGACTCCCACCTGCTCAACAGGCAAAATCCACTCCACGGGGGGGGTGCGAGGGCCCGCAGCGATCGGCAACCGAGTGTACAAAGAAACAATCGCCCGATCGTCTGGGAGGCCTGGACTGGTTTGTCCCGATTCCCCGCGGGCAGAGGAACCAAAAAACGCAGCGTAGACTCTCAACGGTCCGCGCGGATCTCGTGGATCTGGGGTGAACCCTCTCCCCCCGATAGCGCTCGGTCGGGCAAGTAAGTCCTCCTACAAAGGGGTTGGGGATGAAGAGTTATAAGTAATCAAACATGCTCCCAACTGGCCAAACACAAGCGAAAAATCGTCCCCAGACTATTTCTCTTTACTATTTTTGAATATTCCTCCCGCAGAAGGACGTCCCCGACTTAACCCTAGCGCCCGGAGCGCGCGGGGACGGCGCAGGAGGCGCCGGCAGGGGGGATCCAGCGCAGATCAACAGAAATCAGCTCGGACCTTCGAGTCTGCCCCCAGGAGGCTCCCAGAAGGTCCCCAAGAGGCTCCCCATGAGGCCCCAGAGTTCCTCCCCAGGGGCTCCCGAGAGCCTTCCGAAGAGACCCCAAGAAGCATCCCTCTGGCCCACGTCAACGTCGTCGTCGCCGCCGCCGCCGTTGCCGTTGTCGTCGTCGTCCCCCTTAAGGGTCGGCGTGAGGCTTTCGCAATCGACTCGGACCTCCGAAACAGTATTTTGTCATGTTAGTTTCTGCTCTTCGGCTACTGCTCTGACTGGGCACATACTGAAAGGAGAATAAGAATTAGGGGTGCATGACATCTAGGGGATGTGATGACCCATCCGGCCAGATCATCCACCCAACCCCAGTTGGGGGGAGCGATGTGGTGGCACTGGCTCCTGGCATCGGCGACACATCGCCTATAGATCGGCGCTATGCCCTCGATCGCGAAACCGCATGTTCCTGGGAAAGGATGGGCGATCGAGCACCCACCGGCGATGAGTGGGCGACTGGGGTCGATGCGTCCGCCCTCAGCCCATCGCCCCCTGCAGTAGAGTCCCCGCTCCCCTGTTTGGACGCCCCCGACTCCAGACCCTCGATCTCGTCAGTCGGCGTCTCTGGGCCGAAGACCTTGACGCTTGACGGCCACACGGGTGGGTTCGGCTCGCCGCCAGCCTAGCAAAAAGGCGACCAGAGAGGGGGGAGGAGGAGGAGGACGAGGAGGAAAATGAGGACGAGGACGAGGAGGAGGAGGAGAAGGAGAAGGAGAAGGAGGAGGAGGAGGAGGAGGAGGAGGAAGAGCCAGCAGGGTCGAAGAACGCGGCGGGCAGGGAGGGATGACAAATATGCGGGGCGGGGATTATCCATAAACACAACCTGGGGGGTCGATGTTCGGGGATGCCGGCAGGCTGTGGATATATATATATATATATATATGTATATACATATATATATACATAACCATATATGTATACATACATATATATATATGTATGTATATATACATATGTATATATACGTGTATATATATATATATGGTCACACACACACACCCCTGTGATCCACCTCACCCTCCTTTATTTTTGTCTGAGCGGCATTCGTGCTTTGAACTGGCGCTGCCAATCTGCGGCGTTCAATTGAGCGCGAAATCGGGATTTCGAGAGGGCGGGGGAGCGGGAAGGCGGGAGGAAGGGAGGAAGAGCGGGCGGGCGGGAGAGCGGGAGAGCGGGAGAGCGGGAGAGCAGCAAGGGGCGGACAGGCGAAACTGCGAAAGAGCATAAAACATATAAACAACTAGTGGCAGCATCAGAAAACCATGCGAAACAGCTGTCAACACTAAGGAAAAGCAAGGTTTTGGCAAGCTGGTGCCCACGAGACCTTTGGAAACACAAACGCTGTTTCGTGATGCCGATGGGCCAAAACCCTGTGTTTTCACAGGTTTGGCGGCTACCAAGCATCCGAAACTTTGTTTGGTCTTAAGTTTTGCTACATGTTCACACGGTCTTCTTGGGGTGTGTTTGCTTTTGCTCCCTACCTACATGTGTTTTTGTCTGTGCCCCCTACCGACCTGTTCCCTTCAAAGACAAACGCACATGTTCCACATGTGTTTTTGCCTTTGTTCCCTGGGAGCTTTAGCTTTAGCTGTAGCTTTAGCTTGAGCTTAGCTTTAGCTTAGCTGCAGCTTAGCTTAAGCTTAGCTGCACCTTAGCTTTAGCTTCGCTTCAGCTTAGCTTTAGCTTAGCTTCAGCTTAGTGCTAGCCTAGCTTTAGCTTAGCTTCCGCTTAGCTTTAGCTTAGCTTCAGCTTAGCTCTAGCTTAGCTTAGCTTTAGCTTAGCTTTAGTTTAGCGTTAGCTTAGCTTCAGCTTAGCTTTAGTGTAGCTTTAGCTTAGCATTAGCTTAGTTTTAGCTTAGCTTCAGCTTAGCTTCACCGAGCAAAAAAGGCAAAGAAGGCAAAACAATATCAAGAAAACCAGGGACGTCCTCAGAAAGCCATGTATATATATATATATAACTACAAACACTAAGGAGCAACAAGGGTTGGGCAAGCTGGTACCCACGAAACCTGTGAAGACACAATGTTTCGCAACGTCGATGAGCCGCAACCCTGTGTTTTCAAAGGTTTGGTGGCGAGCAGGCGCCCCAAGCTTTGGCTGTCAGGCGTCCCAAAATTCTCGCGACACCTGAGGATGTTGAGGTTGTCGCAAGCCTCTCAGAAGTATGTTTCCTTCTTTGCCTTTTTCGCACTTTCGGGTGTGTACCACATGCGGTTCAGATGTAGTCCGTTCAGTTCAAGTGTTGTCCATGTGAGTTTCACATGTTTTCTATGTAGTTCAAGTGTGATTCCTATGAAGATCAAGCGTAGTTCGGGTGTGCTTCGACTGTGGTTCAGGTGCAAACACCATTGTAATTCTAGTGTGGCTCATGTGTAATACAAGTAGGGTTGAACTGTAGTTCAGTTCTAAGTTGTAGTTCAGTGAAGCCAGGTGTATTTCAAGTGTAATGCAAGAGCAGCACATGTATAGTTCAAGCGGAAACAGGTGTAGTCATTGCAGTTCAAATGTAGGTCAAGTGTAGTTCATGCGTGGTTCAAGTGTGGCCCACGTGAAGTCCAAGTGAAGTTCAAGTGTGTTCCGAATGCTGCGCAGGTGTAGTGCGAATGTCATTCAGGTGTAGCCCTCAGAATTCAAATGTGATTCAAACGTCGTGCAAGTGTAGTGCACGTCCGTTCCAGTGTTATTCATACGTAGTCCAACTGCAATTCAGGTGCGGTTCAAGTGTATGTAACATGTGGTTCAAGTTTGGCAAGTGCTCAATTGCGGGTGTGGTGTAATGTGGTGTGATCCAAGTGTGTTGCAGTGTAATGCAGGTGTGATTTAAGTGTGGCTCAAGTGTGGTTCACATGCGATCCAAGTGTAGCTCAAGTGCAATTCCGCTGTAGTCTTTGCAGATCAAGTGCGGGCCAAGTGTAATTCAAATGCAGTTCAAGTTAGTTCTCGCTTAGCTAACCTGTAAGTACAATGTGGTTTCACTGTAGAAACGCTGTAGTTCAAGCGTGGTACAAGTGCAGTACCGGCAGTTCAAGAATTGCTCAAATCTACTTCAAGCGTAGCTGGAGTCTAATGCTGTTCGCGCGTCGCTCAAATCTAATTCCAATGTAGCTCAAGGCTAATTCAAGTGTAGCTCAAATGCAATTCAAAGTTGGTTCAGGTGTAGTCATTGTAGTTCGAGTGCAGCTCATGTGTGGCTTGGGTGATGCTCAAGTGCAGCTCATATGTAGATCAAGTGTTTTGTTGCGTGTGCGTGTACGTTTGTTGTTCAGGCGTGGTTCGGGGGTACTTCAGGCGTAGCTCAAGTGTGGCCCGAACGAAATCACTGCAACTCAAAAATAGTCCAGGTGTAGATCAAGCGTGGTTCAAGTGCCGCTGAGGTGTAGCTCAATTGAAGTCCAAGTGTGATTCAAGAATGATTCAGGTCTAAATCAAGTGCAGTTCTGGCGTAGTCCTTGTAGTTCAAGTGTAGTTCAAGTATGATTTGCTTTATATATAGTTCACGCGCAGATACAGCGTAGTGCAAATGAACTTCCAGCGTTGCTCAGAGAAGTCCGAGTGAAGATCCAGCGTAGTTCGGGTGTAGTGCAGGCGCAGGTCAGTTGTGATTCAGGTGTGGTTCAAATCTATCTCTGGCGCGGCTCGTGCGTAGTCCAGGCGCAGCTCAAGCGCGTTCCTGGAATTGCGCTAGTGCATGCCGACTGCAGGCTAAGCATAGATCGTGCGAAATTCCAAACGTACTTCACGCGCGGCTCAGTCACGGCCTAGGCACTGCGCCCTCTTGGCGCGCCGCAGCATGGCTGAGCAGTCGCAGCGCGGGCGTCGTTCACGCGCGTCGCAAGAAAAACAAAGCAGGCGTTCGCCGCGCGCGGCTCGAACAACCGACGCGCGCATCGGGCGCGGCGGCGCCGCTCCGCCCGCGGGGGGGCACGCGCGCCCGAGAGCGGGCGGGCGGCGGACTGGCCGCCGGCTCGGGGCCGCGCGGCGCCCGGCGAGCCCGGCGAGACGCGCCGCTCCGCCCCGGTAGACGGCCGCGCGCAGCGCAGCCTCGCCCGCGCGTCCTTCAGGTGGAATAAGGATGAGTTCGCGCGCGACGCAAGCGCGCGCGCTCGAGCTGGCCCCCCCCGATCGCGCGCGCGACGGCGGCGCGGCCACGCTAATTTTCGCGCGTCGCCCAGCCCCTGCGCCGCGCGAGCCGGCGGCCGCGCGAGATGCCGCGCGCGCGCGAGGCTGGCGGCGGCGCGACAGCTTGCCCCGCTCGGGCAGCGCACAAGCACCCCGCCGACCGCGGCAGCGCGCAGATTGCCGCGCGCCCTGCGGCGACACAAACGCGGCCGACAAACCCCGGGGCCAGGCGCAAAGACAAGGGCCACGAACTGCATGAAATAACAAGGTACGCGAGCAACGCGCCAACGGAGCCGCCCCCCCCATACAAAACCGCGGTGCGCACCAGGTGCCCTCCTGGCCCATGCGCGGCCCCATCTCCGACCCGCGCTGGATTGCGCGCGCGGGCGCGGATCGGGAGCGCCCCGCGCGTCGCGAGTCGAATGGGAACGCGGCGCAACCCACGGCGAGCGCGCGGTCCGCCCATGGCCCAGGGCGGCCCCCCGCGCTCGACAGTTGCCCTGGCCGCGCGTCAGAGGGGCCCATTCCGATCGCGCCCGTCTGCCCTGCAAAGGCCCTGTTCGAGCGAAACTCACCCAGGTCAGGCACGGCCGGAATGGGGGCCCTCTGAGACTGCTCTGGGGCGCCCCCTCGCGATCCCAGCTTCTGGCGCGCGTGCCCAAGTGTCCCGCGCTTGCGTGCGCCAGTGTGCATCAAGTGTGGCCCAGGTGTAGTTCAAATCCGGTTCAGGTGTAGTCGTAAATCAAGTATAAATCCGGTTCACATGTAGTTCGAAAGAAATCTAGGTGCGTTTATGACGCAGTTTAGGTGTGACCCCAAAGTCGTCCGGATGTGGCCATTGTAATCCAAACGCAAGTCGAGTGCACTTCAAGTCTAGTCCACATGTAGTTCAAATCGAAGTCAAGTGTAATTCAAAGCGGCTTAAGTATGGTTCGAGCGTAATTCAAGTTTGGCGCAGGGTAGCCATTGCAGTTCAGGTGGTATCCACGTCTGGATCAAGGACACTTTAAATGTAGTCCAAGTGGGGTTCAACTGTAGCTTAGGCCTGACCCCAGTGTATTGTAGTACTTCGGGTGTGACTCAAGTGTGGTTTAGGCGTAGTCCCTGTCGTGCAAGCGTAGATTGAATGTAAGTCAAGTGTGGCTCACATGTAGTACAAGTGTAGTTCAAGTGTGGTTCAGGTGCGTCTCGAGTGTAGATCCAGGGTGGTGCAGGTAAAGCCCTTGTAGTTCAAATGTAGTCCAGGTGTAGCTCAAATGTGGTTCAGGTGTAGTTCAAGCGCGGTTCAAACGCGCACCCAAATGTCATTCAAGTGTAGACCTCGGGTAGTGCAATGTCTCCCCAAGGCGGCTTAGGTGTAGTCGTTGTAGTTCAAGCGTGGCCCAACCGCAGTTCAAGTTTGGCTCGGGCTCATCCCACATGTCGTTCGCTTGTGTTTCAAGAAAAATCTCAGGTGTAGAGCAAGTGTGGTTCAGGTCTGGCCCGTGTAGTGGACGTATAGTT